ATCCATCCATCCATCCATCCATCCATCCGTTCGTCTGTCCGTCCATGCGTCCGTCCGTCCATCCATCCATCCATACATCTATCCATCCATCCATCCGTCCATCCATCCATCCATCCATCCATCATCCATCCAACCATCATCCATCCATCCAACTAACCATCCATCCATCCACCTGTCCAATATCTGTCTGTCTAACTGTCTGTCTAAAGATTAGATTATAGAAAACCAATTTAATTATGCATAAAGCAAACACAACACAAAGCAGCACCCTTAAGCGGCTGTGGCGTGTTGTGCTGTACTTGCCGTATATGTGACAGGCTCCTGAGCTTCGGTTTCCTGAGACACGGCGAAGTGGACGGCGACACTCAAACACAAGCTGATCCCCAACATAGTGACCTGCAGCCCAGAGAAAACAGACGCTCGCGCTTTCACAAGTCATCACTGAGCCCACGTGCATCTGCACCAGTTCCACCTAAACCCCAATTACATTTCATCCGCGTTGCAAAGATCACATTGTTTGGTTTGAATGAAACCGCTGTTGACCCTGGCTCGGTTCTGCAGACACTTGGCAGAGTCCAACACATTGCAGCACAAAACAACAGTGTCCAAACTGTGCCCGCTCACCCAGTCCATCATAGCAATTAAGCCATGGCACATTTTTAAAAGTATCACATTGTCCTTGTGCAAATTACCATATCCAGCATATTTGAGACCAAGAGCAACTCTCATTTCAACACTGTGGGAAATGTTCATGACGAGTCTTGTAATATTGAATTTAATGGGTTTTTCCCCCCTGAGGATGAACATCTCTGCTCTGGAAGCTCGTTGTGAACCTCCCAGACTGTGTCAGAAAGAACCAGTTCAAATAAAACACGTAAATCTACAGTACAAGCTTATTATGGCTATTTCAAAAGTAGTGCAACTGAAGGCATGTACCAACTAGTACTTAGACACCATATTTATCTGACAAAGCCCTCCAGCAACCTCCAGTTGAAATGGTTGTTTTCTGTTCAACAAAACCTCCTATTCATGTAATCATGCCAGAAGTCTATTGTCATTCAAAAGTATGAAATATTTATGCAATGTAACCAGATAAATCATTCTTCATGCACATGTAAAACAAAGTACAGTTGTTCTACATGAGTTGCACAACTGTTACTATACTGTAGTTATCAAGCAAGATGATGCATAAATCATTAACAGAGCACAGAATTTATAATGCAATGCCAAAACTGCATAAACAATATACCTTATCAAACAGGATTGTCCCCGTCTTCCCCAAAGTCCTGATTGTGTGTGTGTGTGTGTGTGTGTGAGTGGAGGATCTTACCCCGTGTGATTTATTCCACTGTAGCTTGAGGAGCACTGGAGTCTCTCACACACGAGGAGCCTGCGATCATGTTCTTATGCGAGGCAGGTTTTTCTCTCTTAAACCTTTTCAAATGGTGTTTTTTCTCACTGCAACACTCTCGCTGGAATATAAAGGCAGTGAATGTGGCTCCACCTACTGCTAGACATTTAGACCTACAACACATTTACTGATAGAGACCTGAGGTCTATGAAGGGAAGTCTTGCCAATAACTAAGAAGTCATTTATGATCTTAAATACTATGAACATTATTCTATATCTATTATAAATGCGTCATTTAATATATAAAATAACTGTTGATTTTATTTATATTAAGAGTTATGATCTTAAATACTGTGATCATTTGTATTTATCATAAAAATCTATTAATTAATTATTATATTATTAATTAAATTGTATGTATGTATTGTATGTATATGGGGGAAAAGCAATAGAATATTATTAATTAAATATAGAGTTTAATACATAAAACAAAACAACTTGATTTCATTTTGTTTCTTAATTTGTTTTCCAAGACACCCATTTAATATTTTCAGTAAAAACTAAAATTAATAATAATAAAAAAAATTGACCAATGTCTTACCAGTCAATAATAATTATATTATTATATATATTATGATCAGTTATCATAAAATATGATCATGTATCATAAAATAAATTAAATATACAATTATATATATATATATATATATATAAGTATAATAAAACTTGTTTTTATTAGTTTTATTTCTTAACAGTTTTTCTAAGATTTTCTTAATTTTTTTTGTAAAATCTAAAATGAATTAAAAAACAAAAAATATGATTATGAAGGGAAGAGTCTTTTTATTACCAATAATCACGAACTATGATCTAAGATCATTAATATGTATCATAAAAATATACTAACTTATAAAAAATATGTAATCTAAAACTGTGAATTCATTTTTTCTTACAAAAAATGTTTTATTATATTTTTTAATTAATAAAAATATATAAAAAAGGGTCTGTCTATAAAGGTAAGATGAATGTCTTACCAATAATCACGATACATATATATCTGTCAAAAAAAATCTTAATATATTAAATATAGAATTTAATATATAAAATAAAATAACTGATTTCATTAATTTCTTTCTTTTAAATTGAAGCAGCTTTTTATATTTTCAATAAAATCTCAAAATAATGTGAGCAAAAATATATAAAAAGAGTCATATGTCTATGAAGGGCAGAGGAATGTCTTAATGATAATCGAGTGAAAAAAGTTTGGTATTTTAACTTTTGGGTTGTAATTTCATTATTATCAATGGTTAGGGTGACCATACGTCCTCTTTTCCCCGGACATGTCCTCTTTTTGGACCTACAAAAATGCGTCCGGCCGGGATTTCTTAATTGCCCAAAATGTCCGGGATTCAGCTGTTTTCTTAATCCCACTCCCGCTGAATCTCTGACCATTGCCGCCTGCTCCCGCAA